AAGAGCAAAATCATGGTGTGATGTGAAAATGACCAGGGATTACATCCCTGTAATCACAACACTCTGGGAAGCTGAGGCAAGAGGATCCCAAGTTCAACCCAGCCTGGACAGTTTAGTGACTTACCAAGATCCTGTCTCCAAAAACTAGGAAACCATTTCTGAAAGCCAAGAGAGAGAGTTTGGAGGATGATATTAAGACCAAAGCATATGTAAGAGCCACTCTCACTAATAGCCTCTGGAGCAGCCAGGAACGGCAGGAAAGGTATCTTGAGCTGCTGTCTTAAATAATTTCTCCAAACTTCTTTCTGCCCCTCCACACTGGAGTACCTTCCTGCATCAATTTTGACATTTAGTGTTTTCCTCATTGATAAGTGATAAGTCTCTCTCAGAATGGTTGGAAGATTTAATCAGACATCACGAATTATATGCCTGGCACAGTGTCTAGGTGATGTTGTGATGCATCTGTCAGCTGACAGCCCTAAAGCAAAGCCTCTCCCAAATCCACTGCTTCCAGGGACCCATCCCACAGAAGCACCCTGGGATATCAAGGTAACAGGCCTCAGTTAAGGTTTATGTGAAAGTGGAAAAGGCCACAGGGCTTCTGAGTATGAGAATTTCCCCCTTTTACTTTTTGTCCATGATGCTGGGCATAGAACCCAGGGCCTCAAACATGTTAGGCAAGTGCACTAGCACTGAGCTACATCCCCAGCTCTTGCCTTTTGATTTTTGCCCAATATTCACTCTAGCATAGTTTGAGTAGGGGAGTCCACAGACCCAAGGACTAGAATGACTTCTTCTGCCATCTGAGTGTGTCCTTCTTTGGGCACATTTATTTGCCTTGCTGAACAACTCTTACCTGATTGCTAAAGTAATGATCAGGCCCTGTTCACCGACATCAGTATTATATGCCAGGCCCTGTGCTAGGGTACAGGATATGGCCCTCTAACTTCCGGAGCACATGGTGTGGCAGAAGTGGAAAGATACTGGCAAACATAATAAAAACAAGGTTGAGTGAGCTGAATGTTGGGACAGAGCAGAGTGCTGTAGGAACACAGAGGAGAAGGGACTAAAGTGAAAGGAGACTCAGAGACATCATGCCTTTGTGACATAAAAGACTTCTTTTGGACTTTGGATTTTGATGCATTAGAGAGAAGTGAGTATTGTGAGCGCAAGGCTGGAGCTTAGACTGTTTGGGACATATTTGGAAATGAATCAGTAGTTCTGTGACCTAGAGAAGAGCATGCTGGGACAGAGGAAAGCTGGGACATAAGCTAGTGGGTTCTGAAGAACCCACTACAGTCTGCTGGTCCAAAGGATTAAAGCCAAGCTCAGGGAAAGGATGGCAGCACCACACTTTATTTATTCATTTGTTTATGTATACATTTGCTGACTTGTTCGCATTTACTGTGTGACACACTGATTGGGTGCTGAGGAGGGAAAAAATGAATACAACAGTTTCTTTTCTCAAAGATGTTACAGTCTGTTGGAGGAGACAAGTAACAGTGGTACATAATATAGATAACAGTTGCTACCTGCTCCAAGAACAGAGTTAAGCAAATGCCCAATTAGGCTTGGAGGTAAAAGCAGCTTTAAGAGATGTCCCATTTGAGCTGAGTTTGAAGGATGAGGAGTCTGCTAGATTGAAGTGAGAATTAGCTTTCACACAGAGCAAACAACAAAGCCAGAGGCTCAATTCAGTGGGACCCACTGGGAACACAGCAAAGTTTGGTTTGAGTACTTCCTACAGTAGGAAGGAGACCTAGAGAGAAAAAACTGGGGAGAGGAGTTGGGATAAACCTACAAAATTGGGACATAGTCCTAAGACACTGGGATAGTATATTGAAGATGTTTCAGTGGAGAAGTTGGGGAAGTAAATACCAGTAGGATATAGAGAATCAGAGAGGTCCTAGGAAAATGGGAAGAAAATTATCCCTCTAATCCAGCAGAAAAATCAGAAGGAATTGAACTGAGGTGGGCTCCGTAAGACCTGATGGCTAGTGAGTGAAAACTTGGGGATGTGGGTAATTTCCTGGTTTCTGGCTTCCCTAGACAGAACAGTCAGGAGCAGTAGATTTTAGGTAGATGATGATGAGTCCATTCTCGAATATGTTCAAGGTTACTGCAGGACACCAGTGATACTCTCCCTACCCCTATTCCCACCTTTAAATTTTTCAGAGGTTTCCTGTTCCTGCATCCTTGGCCTGGACCCTTGTCCTGTCATATCAAAGCATATGCTGGGGATTGAACCCCAGAAATCATACTTGCTAGGCAGGCACTCTACCACCAAGCCAAACCCCCAGCTAATTTAATTTTTTAATTCACAGATACCATTGCATGATTTGGTTGTTCATTGTTTTGAAATATGCATACATAATTGGTTAAATCTAGCAAATTTAAAATCACATGACCTCAGTTATCTTTTTTGTGGTAAGAGTGCATAACCTCCACTCTTTTTCAAGAATGCAGTATGTCATTAACCATAGTCACTGTACTATACAATAGATGTCTTGAAATTTATTCCCCATCTCTATATGTACCCTTTAACATCTCCCTCACAACCTCACCTATGCATGCATCCCAGCTTCTGGTAACCACCATTGTCTCTGTCTCTGTGAGATCGACTTTTTCAGATTTCATATATATGTGAGATCATGCAGCAGTTGCCTTTTCTCAGACTTGCCTTTTGTTTTTTTGATGCCAGGGATTGAACTCGGGATCTTGTGCTTTCAAGGCAGGCACCAGAACCACTGACCTAAATCCCCAGTCCCAGCCTTGCCTTTTAATACACTGCCTCCAGCCTGAGAAGTTTGCAGATCCTTGAACTGCCAGGTTATTACTGTACACATCTCTGTGCCTCCAGTGAGAACACCTATTCCTTCTCTTACTGCCCTTCTTCCTAGACTCACTCAGATGTAGCGTCTTCATGAAGCCTTCCCTGACACATTCTGCCACCACACCACCACCACCAGTGACAGTCAGTATAAGTCTGTCAGCAGCCACATACTCCCCCCACCTCATGGAAAGATTTGCAGGTTGTCACGACTACTGCAACACATACCCACCCCACCTACCACCCCCTGCAGGGCAGGTGGTATCCATTATACCTCAACTAGATGCAAAGAAGGACATCTGTCAGTGTTTCTTAAATGAACAAATCCAGATGAGAGGATCCAACAGAGATGGGAAGTTCCAAAGGTAAAATGAAAAACACCAAAAACAAATCTGAGTTATGTGAACACTTTAGGTCAACTTCATCCCCTGCCCCCTCTTGTTCAGTTATCTAGGTGCATGACATCAGCTTGGCTTATGTGTATGGAATGGACTAAAAATGGAGAAGGTAAAGCTGAGTGTTGTAAGCCTGCTTGTAATCCCCCAACACCCAAGAGGCTGAAAGCAGGAAGATCACCACAAGTTCAAGGTCAGCTGGGCTACATAGTTAGTTCAAGGCCACCCTGAACTACATAGCAAAAGCCTGTCTCAAAAAAAAAAAAAAAAACCAGAAATAATTAAAAAAAAAAAAAAAAGGAGAAAGAAAGCAGAGGGTAGATCTGGTAAAGATTTAGGGACTAAAATGAAACTGCCAGCCATCCAGGACCCAGGTTTACCTTAGAGCCTCATCTACACACCTGATTCCTTGCTTTCTAAACTTCTGGCCCCTGTTTTCTACCACCACCTGGTGGCCACATCTCTAAATGACAAGCTCCCCTGAGCTGAGAGCACTTCTGTGAGGCAGCCTGCTGTTCCAGAGATTCTCCTCCAAGTTGTGTCACACACACCTAGCCCAACACCCCCCCCACACACACACACACAGAAAAGCAGAGATTTGCATGTGTAAGAGACCTGCCTTCTTCTGGTGAGAAGCTCCATAAGTTCATTGTCAGATTTTTAAAGATACTTCTGGCCTCCAAAAGGCTGAGAATCACTGCTGTAAAGGATTGATTCACATTTTTTTCCAAATGAAATCCTCCAAAGAATCAGAGTATAAAAGATAGGGAAGCAGATCTGGATCCCTACTGCTTGGAACTTCACACTCTGATTTCCCAAAGTATTTATACAGAACATGGAATCTGGTTTGAAAACCATTCTTGTAAAACCACAGGCTTATATAGCAACCTCAGAGCCAGATGAACCCCTAGAAGTTAGTGAAACCCACTAGGCCACACCTGGGAGGAGGGACTTGGTGTCACTCATGAAGCATATTGGCAACAGTATTGGAATTGGAACCTAACACAAATTATTATCTTTTACTTTCCTGTCTTTACTGCTTGTATTGTTTATCACAGGTTGGGGGGTCTCTACTATCCTGAATGTAGTTCCCAAGCAGAGAACCATTTTTCCTATGTATTTTTAGATTTCTGGAAAGAGCTAAGTGCCTCTCAGCAAACCATAATACAAGGTAGAAGATAAATCTACAGCTTACATTTAAGTCAGTTCTTTACAACTTACAGGTAGCATAAATACCCATGAGTTGGTATATTTTACAGAGGGAAAACTAAGACTCATACATAAAATGACTTGCCTGCTGTTTTCTGACAACAGCTTCAGTGTTCTTTCCACTATCTTATACCCTTCATATTCAAATGTGTATATCTTAATGCTTAAAACAATGAACAGGAAAGTGTAACTGGCTTGTTGATATCTGTTTAGGAAATGAGTGTAAGACTGATCCCTTCTAATGACATCCATTTAGAGACTGGGCAGGGATAAAGACTTAACATTTGTATACTATATATACTAGTCTATTCTAAATGACTTTCAAAATGTGTTTTTAATCACCATTTTGCAGATGTCTAAACTAGAGCTCCATAAACAAAGTGATTTGTCCAAGGTCACACAGCAAGAACCTGGCAGATCTTAGGTCAGCCTTTGGTCTGCCTGCCTCTTTAGGCTGTTTTTTTTCCATAGCAGTGAGCTACATGGGGCTCTGAATGTCCATCTTGCCTCCTGCGGACAGTTTTGGCCTCATCTGACTGCCACCCCCACTCTTCTTTCTCTTCCAGGAGTGCCAGCTTTTCTCAGGGCACAAGGCAGAAGAGTGACACAGCCATGCAGAAACTTGCCCAGGGCAATGGACACTGTGTCAACGGGGTCAGTGGTCAAGTGCATGGCTTCTACAGCCTTCCCAAGCCAAGCCGGCACAATACAGAATTCAGAGACAGTACCTATGACCTCCCCCGGAGCCTGGCCTCCCATGGCCGCACCAAGGGCAGCCTCACAGGGTCTGAGACGGATAATGAAGATGTGTACACCTTCAAGACACCCAGCAACACACTGTGCCGGGAGTTTGGGGACCTCCTGGTGGACAATATGGATGTTCCAACCACTCCACTCTCAGCCTACCAGATCCCTAGGACATTCACGCTGGACAGGAACCACAATGCCATGACAGTGGCTACTCCTGGGGATTCAGCTATAGCTCCCCCTCCTCGGCCCCCCAAGCCAAGTCAGGTAGAAACACCTCGATGGGGCAGCCCTCAGCAGAGACCCCCAATCAGTGAAAATAGATCTGTCGCTGCCACCATCCCCAGGCGCAACACGCTCCCAGCAATGGACAACAGCCGACTCCACCGAGGTCAGTGTAAGCTGTAGCTGAGGCCCAGAGGGAGAGGAAGGTGGGCGAGGGGTTCTCAGTGGCTTGCTAGCCTGTGGTCATCCATAGCCAAGGGAGGTTTAAAGACCACCCGGGTAGGTTAGGTATCTTATCCAGTCCCCCTGACCAGTTGGTCCTCTAGCTGGTTGTTTTTTGTTGTTGTTTTATCCCTTTCCCCCCTCAAGCTCTCTGGCTGTTTTTATGACACCCACAATGGCAAGAGTGGGGCAGACGCTGCCTTGGAGAAGTGAATATTCTACTAAGAAACACAGGATATTCTTGGTCAACCACAGTACTACATATTATGATTTTGGAAGTTCAAATCATAATGTTTTATTCATTTAAAATCAAACCAAACTTTGAGCCAAACTTGTGTGGATTAACAGACTGATAAAACCAAAATAAGATTTTCAGAATATTTTGTAAGCCACACTAGACTCTTTGGCTGAAGTCTGAACTTCTATTTGAAGTACCTCAATTCTATTGCCATTTGTTTACTGCGTGTATTCCAACTCTGCATATATAACTGTCTGAGGAAAACAGAACAATATTCTTCTGTTTGCATCTTGCTTTCATATATATATATATATATATATATATATATATATATATATATATGTATGTATAAAATTGCACATTCTTGTCTCTTTTTTTGGTGGTGGTGGTGGTGGTGGTACTGTTGGGGATTGAACCCAGAGCCTTTGCATTGAGCTCCATCACATGCCCTTTTATTTTGATAGTCTTGCAAAATTGCCCACGCTGGGCTCAAACTTGCCATCATCTTGCACAGCCTCCTGAGCTGAGATTATAGCCATGCACCACCATGCCTGGCTTTGCAGAGCTTTTTCTTTATCCTTCCTGTTGTTTAAGCCATGCAGAGCATGGCGGGACTGAACCTCACCATCTCCATTGTGTGAAGCCCATCGTAGTTCAGAGTTACTAGGGGCAGAGATGAAACTCTGATCCTGGAGTCCTGTCTCTTGGTTTAGAACCCTTTGCTTGGAGCAAACACCGTGTGCTTTGGAACTAGGATAAGACATTTAAAACATATGCCTTATCCTACAGAGCTCACATCTGGCTGGGAAAAGAAAACCAACATGTGTAACTTAGTTCAAGCTCTGTTACTATAATATTCACAGAGGTGGGAGCTAGGGTGAATGGGACAGGTGGTCAGTGCTGGAGGGCTCTGGAGAGAGGTGCAGGCTTGGGGCAGAAGTGGACGGATGGGTTGTTTCTCTGCACATGCCAGTGCTGCAGCTCCAGAAGCCCAGGAGGAATCTTGAGCTGTGGAGGGCTATGTTAAGTAACAGCACGTCATTTGGGTTGAGAAGAGTATTTTCTGGAATATCAGGAGACTCTGAGCCATGCTGGAGGGGATGGGCAAGAGTCAGCATGGATGAACAGGGCTACACATGAACTTTCTTCCTTTATCACAGCTTCTTCCTGTGAGACCTACGAGTACCCTCCCCGCAGTGGGGAGAGTGCAGGCCGGTCTGCTGAGTCCACGAGTGAGGGAATCACTTCTTTCCTGGTGAGTGGGGTTTGACCAGGGCTTCTTGGGCCACTTGGGGTAGGGAAAAGGTCAGACCTCAGGGAACTTTTGCACAGCCCCAAAGGAGTGGGGCCGTTGCCCTCTTAGGCCCCTTCCTGAGTTCTTGTCTTCGTTCAGAATCCTAGGTTGAGTTTTTGGACAGATAAAATATAGGTACCTAGGTCTGGAGGAAGTGTGTGTCCTTAGATGGACTGGAAGACAAAGCTGACCAGCCATGTGAGAAGCAGAAGGGGTCTAGAATGCAGCAGACCTAGGCTCGGGTATTGGATCTTCTGTGCAGCAACCCTACCCACCAGGTGTCACAGGGAGGAGGACACAACTGCAGAGACTCCGAGCAGGGCAGTGCTTAGAGTCAGGCCAGGAGGCAGAGCTACAACTTGAGTACAGGATCCCAGCTGCCCACTGGGAGGGGCTGACTGCAGTAGTCCAAGATGGAGGCAAACAGGCCAGGACCTAGTTCCAAGCCTGCTGGAAAGACAATGAAAATTAACTGAGACAGACGTAGTTTACTTGTATGACTTGGCAGACAGGGCAAGAGCTGGAGAATGGCTTACTGCACAACTCTGTGGCCACTCTGCCTGCTGCCTACTGCACACCTAGATGTCTAAGGTATACCTCAGACCTGCTCCAGGATGGATGGCGGATGCACAGCTGCTCCCAGATCTCAGCTTCCAGCACCAAGACTCTTCACACACTCCCCAGGCTCATCAGGGTCTAGATGCTGACCTACCAATGATAAGTCCTGAACCAAACTTATGCAGCCCATGTCTTATGCTACCCTTTGCCTCAGCCAGGCACCTGGAAACCTAAGAGAACCCTGCCACCGAGGATATTTTATGGTTTAGATAGATCACAAATTATAAGTGGATCCCAAGAGGTCATAAGTCAGAAGGGATCCACAGACTTGATTTATTTCTGTCTTCTACCCTGCCTTCTTCCTTGGTCTTTCCATGGTCTCCCTTATATCTTCACAGTGTAGTGGACCCTCTGAGATAGATAGCATCACCCCATACAGAGTCTCACCTTTGTGTTTCTTCTTGCTAGTGACAGCTGTTTCCTTCCCTCTCTCTAGCCAGGGAAAACTGTTGTGGGTCGATCGGACAGTACCAGTTCTGAAGATACCTACGTGTCCATGAACCCAGGTTCTTCCACCCTGCTGGCCATGGAACGGGCAGGTGATAATTCTCAGAGTGTCTACATCCCCATGAGCCCAGGGCCACATCCCTTCGACCCACTTGGCTACTCATCGACAGCCCTTCCTGTGCACAGAGGCCCCAGCCGAGCAAGTGAGATCCAGCCACCCCCAGTCAACCGCAACCTCAAGCCTGACCGGAAAGGTAAGTCTACTCTTTTCCCATCCCATTACAGGGCAACATCCAGTGACTGTTTGCTTTTCCTTAGGGATGAGGTAGAAACTGGACTTGGGGGAATGTAACTTTTATGAAAATCATGTGAATGCTTTGAGCCTTAGTTTTCTTACCTGGGAAATGGGGATGGTAATTCCCATCTCCTGGGTTTGTTCAGAATAGCACCTAGGATAGTGGCAGGTCTGGCCTACACAGGTGATGGTCATTAGATCTGTGACCCTGCATGAAGACCCAGAAGAGGCACTAGAGTCCCAAGTTCCAGGTCTGCACTACTGCTCTCCACTGGCCTCAGCTCATGGGGAAGGATTTGAATGGAAGAGTAGCATAACAGTGTAGCCTAGTAGTTCAAACCTGAACTTACAGAATTGAAGTCTACAGAGCCTCACAGCATTTCCCTTCCTTCACTATGGTTTGCACAGCTTTCCAAAAACAGCAAGGAGTTGTTTATAGTGGCCATCTCCATTCCAAATACAGTCTCTTGCTTTTGCATAAAACTGGGAGGATAAAATCTGTTGTCAGAACATATGCCCTGTTTTGGATTCTGAAAGTGCAGTTACCATAGATACAGTAGAAAGGGTATGTAATTTAGAATCTGAAGATACAACTTCAGGGATCAAGTTTATATAGTTAGCCCTCAGAATCTGCAGGTTCCACGTATGTAAATTCAACCAATACAGATCAAAATATTTGAAAATAGAAAATATTACATCTGTACTGGCCATATACAGATTTTTCTTGTCATTTTTCCTTAGTACAGTATAATAGCTACTTATATTGTATCAGGTATCATAAGTAACCTAGTGACTTAAAGTGTACCTAAGGATATGAGTAGGTTACAAGCCAATACTATGCCATTTTATATAAAAGACTTCAGCATCTGTGGGTTTTGATAATCTTAAGTCCTAACACCAGTCCCCTGCAGCTACCCTGCTGAGTTTCCCTGCTAGAATTGGAGTGACTATCAAGGCTGCTGTAACTATGCTTGCGTGCTGTGTGTATGTATATCACTATGTGGCATTACCACTGGCTGATTGCTGGACTCTGTGCCCGCTCCAGCCAAGCCAACACCACTCGACCTGAGAAACAATGCCGTCATTGATGAGCTCCCCTTCAAGTCACCTGTCACCAAGTCCTGGTCCAGGGTCAAGTGAGTTTCTGAAAGCAAGAGCTTGGAGCTGGGTGGGGTTAGAAATGAATGGAATTTTCCCTGTCTGGGGGTCAGGAGATGGGATTCTGAAGCTAAGGTGGTAATCAGCCAGTCGTGGCCATTGATCTCACGGGGCTTGGCTTCCTCACCTGAAAAGGGGGAATAATTATACCTGCCCTTTATCAGATCTCCATCTGATAATAGAGGGTGAAGCCCTGGTGCCCCAGGTCTGGGTGTGTGGGGGTCAGGGATCCCCAGGGTTCACTCTGTCTTCTTCTCACAACAGCCACACCTTCACCTCCAGCTCCTCCCAGTACTGCCGTCCCATCTCCACTCAGAGCATCACAAGCACAGACTCGGGAGACAGTGAGGAGAATTACGTCCCTATGGTGAGTCCTCGGGGTACGCTGGACTGATTCCTAGTCCTCTGGGCTCCCTTGCTGCAGACCTTCATGGGCACCTGTGCGGCAAGCAGCGAGAGTGTGTTGTCCACTGCAGGGAGGACATAGTCCTTGCCCCCGAGGTGGTCTGTGTCTTACAGGGTGGAGATGGCATGATGGCTACCCTAGGAAAGGCAGTGCTGGAGGGAGGCGCACATGTACATAACTCCTGTGGTGGCGACTGTTAGAGAGGTGTGAACACAGGCAGAGCATAAGGTTCCTGCCTGAGATTTCACTGCAAAGGTCACAGCTTCCCAGCACCTTGTCATGGCTGCAAACATTGAAAAGAACCAATCAACCAACCAACCATTAAAACAGCTAAAAATTGGAACCCAGGACCATCAGCTTGTTGATTTGAATCAAACTTGGGGAACACTCTAGACAGGGAGGTGCTCTCCCAGAGCAGGAGCCCACCTAGAGACAGGACCCTTGAGCCTGTTGTCTGAAGAGGTGCTAAAGGAATGAGGCTTTCAGCAGCAACTGTTCTGGCCTCTAAGGAGCAGGGGGAGGGTGTGTGCTGTTGTACGCCAGGGGTGGGTGTTTCAGAGGAGCCCACAAGGTGTGACAGAAGGAAACTCCACAGGCTCCTTTCTTAGGGGCTGGTGCGTGATGGTGGGAACTCTCAAGAGAGCAACTGTAAATGAGATTTGGCCTGAGGCCTAAAGCTTGGTACAGGTTTGGGAGTCGGAAAGCAGCCCTGCTTCCCATCCTCCCCCCAGCCGAAGTTTAGCTTTGTTTTAAATAATCCGAAGTATAGTAGTACCAGCCTCACAGGATTGTTGTGGGGACTTAAGTGTGAAAAGTCTTTGGCACAGAGCCGGACACAGTGAGTGAGCAAGCACGCAGCTCTTACTCCCAGAGATGCATTTGTCTGGGTGGTGGGTTTGTCTGTTTCCTAAACTAAGTCTTTTCCTCCTTGTGATAGCAAAACCCAGTGTCTGCATCTCCCGTTCCCAGTGGCACCAACAGTCCAGCCCCTAAGAAGAGCACTGGCAGCGTTGATTACCTGGCTCTGGACTTCCAGCCGGGCTCCCCCAGCCCCCACCGAAAGGTGCCTGGGGTGAAGGGGGGTGGTCATGGTACCTTCCACACTGGGCAGCATCCCTCAGCCTCCCTCCAGAGACAGCCTGTATGACTCAACTGTGCCTTCTCTCCCGGAGCATGGGCCCTCAGTCCATAGGACTTCATGAGCCAGGCCATCCCCTGGCCACGGAGACGGGCTGAGAACACCCACTGAGACCTACTCTGCCAAGGTCAAAGTGAATCAGTGTCAGGCCCGAGACAGAGATCCTGCCTCCTGTGCAGAGCTTTTCTTTGAGGAGAACTTCCTGTCTGGAGGGGCCCAGAGCCCTGCTGGTGATACAGTGGTCCTGAAGAAGGACTTCCAGGACTGGGATTGCCTCCCAGAAAGTACTCTTAGCCAGCCTGTCTAGACTTCAGGCTGGAGTCCTGCCTCAGCACATTTCTTCCTCCGGGTGCTGTGAGGGCTCAGGGAGAAGACACAACTACAGCCCTAAGGCACCCAACACTCCTTCCCCTGGCAGAGTGGCCAGAGGGAGGTCTGTGGAGGCCTGGTCCTCGCACAGATTGCTAGAGGCAAGGGCTGGCTGGGCTGGTGCTCCAGCAGGAGGGAGATCCTTTTGAACTAACAACTTTAAAGCCCATACTCAGAAAGGCAACAGGGGCTCATCTAAGTGCAGCAGAGGCCAACTCCCTTCACATCTCCTCAGCACAGCTTGGGAAGACCCCATCTTCCCCTCCCTACCTTACAGATAACTCACAGAATTCCTGCTTTGTCCCCTCAGCCATCCACGTCATCTGTCACTTCAGACGAAAAGGTGGACTATGTCCAGGTGGATAAAGAAAAGACCCAGGCCCTGCAGAACACCATGCAGGAGTGGACAGATGTGCGGCAGTCCTCAGAGCCTTCCAAGGGTGCCAAGCTGTGACATGGGGGCCACCAAGTCCCCAGAGGAGACGGGAAGCAGCATCTCTGAACTGGCTTCTTCCTGTCTCCTCTCCCACCGCTTTCCACTCTGCCACTCTTGGCCTTCAGAGCATTTGACATCAGGGACCCTCACCTTTCCCTTGGGAAGGGAGGGCCTGATGGGGGCATTTCCTCTGCCCCTCGGGGCCCATGTGACTTAACAATACTGGCCGTGCCTCCACCCACCTTAGTTAGGAGCTGCTGCCAAAAAGCTTCTGCCTGTCCTCGAGACCTGTCTACCAGATGCTTGGAGGGAGGAGAGCACTGGGCCTCTGAGCCAGACTCTACACCTCATGTGGTCACAGCCCCCACCATCTTCCCTCCACCTTTGGGCTACCTCCCCTAAGTCCCAAGGAGGACAGGCCAGGGAGCTCAAGACCAGCAGACCAAAGTGGACATGGACTTTTTAATCCCTGTTTTTCCTGACAGGGGAGAGGCAAGTCCACCCAAAGATGAAAAGGTGGTCTTCAGGGACAAGAATTAGATTCCCAGGTGCAGAAGGACAGTTGATACCTTCAGGGGTTCCCTAGTCCAGCCCACGGCCACGCAGGGCCATTGCTGGGAATGGGAGAGGCAAAAGAATCAAGGACAAAATGAAGGAAAAACTGATGATAGGGAACAGGGCTTGGATTGACAAGGGTGCTGCAGTCAGGCCCCTTCTGACAGTCTGATGATGCCACCCTGGGACAAAAAGTCATCTTCCTGAGCATCCCTCGGGAGGCTTGGGCTGAGCCAGTGACTCATGGTGTGGGAAAGCCAGCATGGTGAGGGCTGGGGGATGTGATGTGGATGGAGGTGATGCAGGAGCTGAGGGGAAACTGGGACAGGAGCCCTGGGAATGGGGCAGTGCAGGGACACTGCAGTGAGCGTGGTGCAGCAAGTAAGCTTCTGTATGGTAGGCCACAGGATGACCTGATGGGAGGCAGGGGTGCAGGATGGAGCAGCTAGGTGCATGGCAGGTGACATGAGGGCCAGTTCTGGGACTGAGAGGATGACAGGTAAAGCAGGACCGTACCTAAGAGATGGGGGGGTATGGCTGGTAGCTCCTGCCCAGCTCCGGAGAGAAACGCGGTGGGCCTGGTGTCAAGCCCAGGGTCTGTTCTCAGCTCCTCTTCCCCTCTGTCCCCTAGGATTGCAGCTGCCGTATTAAACTCAAACTTACCTGTAAAGATGGCTTGAAAGGCCACCAGAGCAGCAGGCATAGGAGATAGGGTGCCACCAGAGCTAGGGAGGGAGATCTGAATTTTTATGTAGAAAGTTCCTGACCAAATTTCCAGGTATTTCAGAGGCAATGGGCCAGACAAAGCATTTCAGTTTGCCCTAGGGTGAACAGACCTTCCTTCAAAAGTAGGACTTCCCACTGTGCTTAATGGGCGAGGCTACCACTCACATTCTGGCTCCCAGGAGTATACACACCTCTGCAGACCAATGGCCTGTCATTTCCCATGAGCCCCGTCCTGAGAGAAGTTATTTCCTCAGCAGTAGCCCTTCTAGTATTAATTCAGAGCAACTCAAAGATCATTAAGTAACTGTTACTGAGGCCAGGCCCTGGTCTTAGGCACCAAGGCCACAGGCTAATCACACCTTGTCTCTGAACTTGAGGTCAAAATCAGTGAGAAAAAAAGGACTAGGATACAAGGCAATGGTGATGGCTGTGAGATGAGATATCAGTGGAGCAGAAGGAATAAAGACTACTCAGGGAGGCTGGTGCCAGAGGGCCAGAAGGTGATGACCAGACAAGGTGGCTCTAGGGAAAGGGGTGCCAGAGCTAGGCCTTGGAGGAGCATAGTGAGAGTCCCGCAGGGCTGGAAGGCCGTGTGCTTTGGGAAAAAAAGGCCTCTGAAGAGGGCAGTGGAGGCTGTGGCGACACTGTAGGGTTGACAGGGTGACTGTTCACTCTGCCTTCCCTGACTGTCCCTTTAGGGCTTTCTGTCAGGAGTCCAACATGGCTGAGTTTCTAATGGTCCCTTGTGTGTTGACTCCATAGTGCCATAAACATGTTACCATGCTCTGAGTGTTATGTGAATGAAACTGGCTGGGGTGTGCAGAGACTAAGGTGCTCTAATGTAGGTGGTCTCCAGGTAGTCTCCTTCCAGCTCTTGGTTCCTGCTTCTACCCACCTCTTAGGGTGGAAATTGGGGTAAAGATGAAAGGGGAAAGCGGAGCTCTGGCTCACAAGCCCCAGACTACCAGCCCTAACGTGTACTTGCTCCTTCAACCCCCCCAAAAAGACGTGAACTCAGTTCAAAATAACAGATCCTTTAGCTGCCCCTGGGTCCAAATTCACCTGTCCTGGCAAGGACTGAGACCCAGAATGGAGATGCCTTCTCACCTAGTGGAGCTCACACAAGGATCCATCCTCGTCTGGGACTGTCTCCAGAGCAGCTTTTTTCACCCACTTCCTGCTCCACCTCAGAAAAAGTTGAATGGGAACAGTGAGGAAAGCGAAGGAAGGTATGGTGTCTCTCCTGGACTTCGGCTTACCTGTCAAAGGGTGGATTAGATGGTCGCTGAAGCCCGTAATGTCTGATCCTCAGCTATGGTGAGGGGGAGCTCCCTATTGCATCACCAGGGATGGGCAGTACCCAGAGCATCAACCAGTTAACTCAGTCTCCTAGCTTGATTTTGCTGACTTCTACATTTCAAACCCTTAAGCCCAATTCTTAGACGCACAACCATTCTAAGGTTATTCCCTCAATTCCAGTCTGCCTCTGTCCCCTTCACCTGCTGTGGGGGGCACAGTCTCAGCCCCGAGTGTGGCCTGCCCCCAACCCCTTTGGCAGAGCTCTGGTGGAATGCAGGCTCAGGGGACATTAGCTCTTCCTTCCTGTCTAGGCCTTCACCTGTAAATGGGGAAGTGAGGCTGGCCCCATGGGGCCATCTTTCTGGGACTCACCAAGTTCTTTGGGGGACCTGCTGGGGATTCATGCTGTCACATGGTACCTGGTGATGTGTGCTCTTGTGTAATAATCTGTTGGCTACTTGTGTCTTGAAATTTAGAATCATTTTGCACAGAGCGTCCCTGTGTGTTTGAAAGAGAAAATGGGCTAGAAGCAGCCCTATCTCAAGTTCTTGTCTTGTTGCCATTTAAATTGACATTTAATTTTTTCAAATCACTGTTAGTGCCTAATCACTTAAGTTATTAATTTATTCTGTTTTCTTTTTAAAAAATTTGTAACACATATTTATCTTGTGAGTAGGTTGGGGGTGGGGTGGGAAACATGTTCAAGTGGGTCGTTTTTGCTGTGGTGACACATGGTACAGGCCTGGAGCTTGCAGGTCCCTTTTTACTGTGGTATTGAAGCAGGATGACAATAAAGTCCTTTAGAAATGCAACCTAGAAAGGGCTCCCGAGTCTGTCTGCCTGCAGGGGCTGAGAGTAGAATCCATCCTCAGATCCCATCCAGGGGCCCTCCCAGAGGCCTCAGGACCCACAGCTGCCATGGGCAAGCCTGAGCATACCTTCTCCCAAAACAAGAAAATCGTTCCAGAAACATTTGTCAAATGATCCCAGGAAGGCTGATGTGCCAGTCTGCTCCACTTTCATAGGAAGTAACTGGGCACCTTCCCTGGCTAGGAGCAAAAAAGAATCTGGCATTTGCCAATTCTGCTTCCCTAGGAGGAATGCCTAGAAGGGCATGTCAGCCTCTGACCTGCTGTGCTGGGCAAGCAGGTCTTTAAGGGCCGATGGCTCCAGAGTCTCTCCATTGGCAGCCCTTGACACCTTCGCAGCTTTTGTTCTCCCAAAGGGAATAGGCAGGCTTGGTAGAAATGTGACCCTGTGATGAGGGCTGGCCCTGGGCCCTGCACACAGAGCCACTCCTGTGACCCTCTCCAGCTCTTAAGCACGGAGGTGCCCTGGGGAAAAAGGTGACAACTCTAGAGCCATAGGAACTTCCCACTACCCCCAGCCTGTGCCTACGTTCAGCCCACCAAAGGTCTCCTCCCCACTCTGCTTCTCAGAGGAGGGAAGGGGCGTGTGGTGTTGGCAGCAGCTGTTTTCAGGCTCCCCAGAGGTGTTGGGGACTGAAAAGTCTCAGCTATTGGGACCCAGGCCTACCTGACAGGAGAGTCCCCTCCACAGCAGCCACTGGGCATCCCCCAGCCTGTGCGCCCTGCCCTCCGCCAGCCAGTGCTTCACCGTACTGTGTTATCGCAATCTCAGCTCTGCCCCCTTGGGTCTCCCCACACACTCTCTCTCTTCAGTGCCCTCACCTCCACCAGGGCAAGTCCTCACCTTCCAAACTAGGAGCCCAGGCCACCATCAGACTGCCCAAGAGAGAAAACCAAGGGTACAGCAGCATCACAGCCCAAGACAGGAAGAATGACATCTTTCACAGGCTTCAGAGAACTAGTTTTATTCCTGTCGGAGAACACGGGTTTCTCCTCCAATTAGAAGGGGCTGTAGCAGTGGCATGGGACAATGAGGTCCACATCTGCATGTCACTGTCCACCCCCCCCCACCCACCCACCCTTCTCAGGGCCAATAGGTCAGAGGAACCGAGCCAGCCAGCTTCCTCAGACAGACGATGGCTTCCTGATGAACAAATGTCTTTGCAATAAAATAAAGACTTTCTATCTTTACCAGAAGAGGGATGCAGACAGTGGCACTTCAGGCACTGAGGCAGGCTGGGGGGGGGAGCACTTGGGGAAAGGGGAGGCAGGTGAGAGAGACAGGTAAGATTCCTCTCTGATCCCCTGCCACACTGCTTCCCACCTGCATGCCTCAAAGGAGTCGATAGAAACTCCCCAAAGGCACCCACATACCTGGCCCAAACGCCCTCGGAGAAATGTGAGGGGGGGGCCCAGCAGAGGCAACACACAGCCCCTTCTTGACTCAGGCTGACGTCCTCTGAGTCCCGCTGTGCTTTCTACCCTATCAAGCAAGAGCTGGGGGAGGGATGCGCTACTCGAGGCCAGGACGCTCCTGAGCCCGCTCAGGCTCCAGGATGGGCCTGCGGAGGCTGGGAGCCAAAGCCCAGAGCCTGACCAGCCAGGTTCTCCAAGTCAGCCAGGACACTTGGGTGTAAATCCTAATGGGACGGATCTCGGGGCCGGGCCTGGGTCTCAGCTCCACATTCAGGTGTCTGTGTACCCTTCAGACTGAGGACCGATGACCCAGAAACCCTCTCCATCTTTCTTGCCCTTTGAAGGGCCTCCTTCAGCCCTGGGCCAGCCTCCACAGCCCCTCAGACCCCACCCAGCACAGCAGCTCTGCCTGGGACCTGGGCCCTGGGCCCCCACCACCCGGCCCCCAGGAGAAAGGGGCCAAGGCCTGGGCGGTGGCCATGGTGCCCCACGGGTGGGAACAGGCTGGGGAGGGCTCACATCAGAAGACCAGTCTGTGGAAGTCACCACCATTGCCACCTGCAGGGTTACAGCCCCCCGGAGAGCCTTCATCCTCATCTTTGTCTTCATCGAAGCCCCTGCCCCAGTGCGGGGATGCAGGGAGTGCGGAGATATAGGCCGCCCTGCTCCGCGCCTCCTTCTCCTGCTCCTGGGCACAGAAGAGGGCATGGAAGCAGCTTAGAATCCAGACCCCGGAGCCAGACTCTCTGTTCACTCCCTCCCCAGCATCACCCAGCACACTTCGGAGTGTCTCCACTGGGTCCCGGGTCCAGACCACAGAGGAAGCACAGCTGGTCCTCAGGGCAGTCCAGCTCCATCTGCCCTACACATAGGTGTCAAAGTCTCTCCCCTCAGGAAAAACTCCAGTCCCTTGGAAGAAAGGAATTCATTCATATTAGACTGTGACTAGCTAACAAGGACCTGATAATGGAAACAGGAGGTCCAGGGACCTGGAAGGTAACATCATGCTACTTGAAAACCTCTCTGCAGGCTTCCTCTCCCCAGCTGCCCAGCTCACTGCCTCTTCAAGGTATGAGGACGGGCTTCTGCCTAAAGTGAGCCTCCTGGAGATCAGCCTGGCGCAGACCCCTAACCACAGCCTGCCTCCCCCTGGGCAGCCTGACAGAAATGTAAAAGTAGGTGTGCTGCCCCCACCCTCACTTCCCCTCAAAAACACCAACCCCACCCAGAGTCCACGGCTGATACCCATCCCCCTAGTAGAGCCCTTGCTGTCCCAGTGGCTGAAGATTTTGATAACACTCTTGACTCTGAAGAGGAATATGGAGACACGAGAGGAGCCCCTAGAAGTACTCCCTACCCACTGACTACCTACTACTCACCTGTGGACCCCGGGCTGATCCTTCAGCACTGTTAGTAATAACTGCATGATTAACTAATGGCTGTTCCTCTGAGATAAGGGCTTGTCTGTCTGGGCCAATACGGTCCCCTTACTGAGCAACAGACAGATTTTAGAAAGCAAGAGACTCAGAGAGGAAAAACAACCAGCTTCCAGTTGTACTGGGACTGGATCCCTCCAGCGGTCATCTGCTCACCTGCAGGTAGAGGATGTTGTCTTTGGAAATGGCTTCCATCAAGTCCTTGTGGAGGGTGGGCTCTGTGCCGACTCTGGGAGAGCCTGGCTCGGTCGTGGAACCCTCCCCAGGCCGCTGGCGGTAAAAGAGCACATAGGCTGTGTCTTTGGGGAAGAAGGAGGTGACGTTGCTCACAGACTCAAAGGAGGAGAAGGACACTCGGGTGTCATTGAACAGGTACCACTGGTTTTCAGGCTCTGGCCTGTCTGCAGTTCCCAGGGAAGGTGCCGGGCGGGCGGCGCCCTCGCGGGCATAGCAGTAGTAGTGGCCACTCTCCGAGGACACACCAGAGTGCACCACGACACTGCAGAGGTCATAGGCCTGACCCTGGCCCCCAGCCAGCGGCAGGCGGAGCAGCAGGGGGATGGTGATGTCATCCAGGATCTTGCGGCGCCGCATGGTGCGCAGATCAAAGGAGAAGCGCAGCAGCGTGAGGATGAGGTAGCGTGGGCCCTGGCTCAGCTCTACCACCTTCTCTGCATCCTGCAGGGAGGCACATGACTCACAGTAGTAGCGATTCTCTGCAGTCAGCCTCTCAGGGGACAGGAAGAAGTTGACCAGGTCCAGGACAGAGCGGGAGCCCTCAGGGCCACACAGCTGCTCCGTGGAGGGGGTGGCAACATCCCTGCGCGTCCCTGGCCCCAGGCTGTCCCCTTCCTTCTCTGCTTCCTTCTCAGGCACCTCTTTCTCTTTTTCCTTCTCTTCTTCCTCTTTTTCTTTCTCCTCTTTCTCCTCTGCTTCCTCTTGCTCTTCCTCTTCCTCTTTCTTTTCTCCTGTCCCTTCCTCTTCCTCTGCCTTTCCCAATTCTTCCTCCTCTACCACCATCATCTCCTTCCCTTCCTCCTCCCTCTCCACCTTCTCCTCCTTCCCTTCCTCCTCTCGCCCACTCTGCTCCTCAGTTCTGAGGGGCCCTTGGTCTTCCATGTCCAGCATGGTCGGGGGGGTGTCCCCCGTGATGCAGTGTTTCCTTTGCCTCCGAGGACCCACCCTGCTGGGAACCTGGGCTCGGGGGACAGAGGGGAGCTCTGGAGCTCTGACATCCTCGGCAGGGACCATCACGGAGCCTAGGCGGCGGCGTCGACAGCGCTCAGGAGGAGGAAAGGCAAGAGAGAGGTCAGTGAAGGCCTCCTCACGGGATGAGACATTGAGGCAGTGGAGGCAGCATATCCGGGTCACAATCTTGCCCCCAAACATCTTCTCCACAGAGGTTGAACTCGGGCTGGGGGACTCCTCAGGGGGAGAGGGCAAGCTGGACTGCTTGAGCTTTTGGCAGATCCTTGTCCCTGTTTTCTCCTCTTCATGCAGCCTGGAGTGAGCAGGAAGCACAGGGTGTTCATACAAACACAGGTCTGCTTCCCGCGCAGTTGCTTTCCTCATGCCCGGCTGTCCTGTCCAGCTGGCCACACACTTAAACAGACACCGAAGCCTCCCAGGGCATATGCACTCAACGTGGCGTGCTCACACGCATGTGTACACATGCACATGGAGCCAGCACATGTGCCACAGACTCACCTGCACACAGGTGCCCAATGCTACCTAACGACACCTGAATCCAGGAGCTGGGCCCCAGGGCAGTGATGAAGACTGGCACACCAGGCGAGCACAGCACAGCATACACATGGAGCTCATCAGGTGCAGCTCAGTACCTCCAGACCCCTCACACTCAGGCACGGCCCCACACCTTCCATAAGCACAAGGCAGTGCTCCCGCTCCCCTCACCACAAGGATGTGACCCAGCTCAGAGCTCAGCTCTCCCCAAGAGCCTTCTCTGGACCTGCAGCCCTCTGCCCACTGCCCCAAGCCAGAGCCCAGGTCTCACTTACCGATCCAGCAGGTACTTCAGATACTCTGAACAGTCCTGTTGGGTGCCGGGGCTGAACCAGGGTGTCCAGGATGCAGAGAGGAAGTTCTCGGGGGAGATGGCAGGCCTCTGTGATGAAGAAGGTGAAAGACAGGCTCAGGAGCAGCCAGCCACACCCCCAGCAGCTCTGCAGGGTGCTGGGTCTGAGGGTCAATCTAGGACTGAGTCCCAAACAGCCCAGCCTTGTCACCCAAATTCTTCTTGCTGTCCCCAACCCATCCCATCCCACAAACTACTTAGCCCCTACGCAGGGCGTCAGGGTCCCGGAGATGAACAATCTTCTAGGGATTCCTCTTTGCTTACACACTTGACACTTTCTCTCCATGTCTTTGTCCACTGCCTAACTCCCTCAAAAAGAGTGCAGTGTGGCCTCTTCCATGACATCTTCCCAACCCACCCCCATCGTTTCCTTTCCCCTAGCTGCACGCTCACACATGCCATGCTTCCCTATGTTACAGCATGACAATTGTCATCCACAAGTCGTCTTCCCGTCAGATGGAGGGCGCTTACGCATCTCTGCCCCCAACAGGGCCCTGAGAATCCCCAACCCAGGGTGTTAGGCTCCAAAAGGACCGACATACATTTGTTTCGTTCCCCTTTGTATCCTCCACATCCCTTGGGGTGCTTGGCAATGTGGGTGCTCAAAAACAGCAACAGATGGATGAGGCAACACCTTAATGCACCAGCCTGAGTCTCTGAAGGGAGATGTGGGCCACACAGTCCTGCGAGTGACCAGCAACTCCTCCCCACCCTCCTCTGTGATCCCCGCACGCACCTGGCTGTGCTCCAGGAAGGCAAAGAGCCACTGCAGCTTTGTCATCAAGGGCTGTGAGTTGTTCTCAGTCAGACGGAGCACACAGTGTCGAAAGCTTCAAAACAAAGCAGGAGCACCCAGGGTGAGCCAAGGCCCCCGGGGAGCCTCTACTCAACCATCCTGCAGGCAGCCTGGAGCCTCTGGACATTTCTAGCTCCAGCTGAGGCCAGAGACCAGGGAGGAGGAGACGGTGAACAGCTCAGCCTGGAGGGTCTGAGGTCAGGAGCACAGCAATGGCCTTGATATGGTAATAAAGGGTGCAACAAGGTGACCCCTGCAGTCCCTTCCAACTCTGACACCCCATGACTCCAGGGTTCAAACATTTGAATGTTCTAAGACTGGGACTCTGGCACAGAATCCGTGCCAACATCTTCCCAGCCACTCACAGCACGTGTCCCGCCCAGCCTCAGCCTTGCACCCCACTCCTATAGCCCCCACTCAGGGTCCCTGCCCCATGGCCCCGAGTCATTCCTCTGCCTTCAAAGGAAGGAGCCAGGGCCAATGCAAGGAATGCACTGAAGGAAGAGGACCTGCAGGGGCAGACTTCCGCCAGTGACAGGAGTCTGATCTTTTTTTTTTTTTTGTACCAGGGATCGAACTCGGGTCCTTGGCGCTTGTGTAGCAGGCAGTGAAACCACTGAGCTAAAGCCCCGGCCCAATAGGAGTCTGATCTTATGGGGGGGGCGGGGGTGTGGCTCCTGACACCCACTGTCCCTGGATCATGCCAACTTCCAGGTCCTGGCTTAGTGCTGTTCTCACAAGCAGCTCTGGACAGTTGGGCACATATTTATCCACACTGAGCCACTACGCAGAACAGCACTACTCAAAATGTGGCCCCCATAGCCACTCTCAGGAAAGCAAGTTCAGAAAATGAGCAAGCGTCTCAAAACTCACACTCAAGACACTACAAGCACACAATCATTTTTCTGGCAAGTCATTTTGCCACACTGAACAAAAGTAATACTCTGCACGTATCAGAAATCAGAAGAACAAAATCAGTCCTTCCATCAGCCAAATGGAGAACAAGCAGCAGCACCTCAGAAAGACTCAGAGATCACCCCCTAACTTCTTATTGACCCTGAAGCTCAGAGAAAAAACACTGACTTGAGGTCATATTCTAAGCCAGAACCCTAGCATCCTCTCACTGAGCTAAAGCTGCAACGTCACACTTGACGTCATAGACAGTATACAGGTCGCCACTGATAGACTGCTTGTTTCATTAAAAAGAGGAGAGAGATGTCCAGCACCAGGGTGAAAACCCAACACACCCTGCCCCCCCGAGAGGAAAGTCAGGGGTGCCAGCCAGCCCAGGGGAGCCCTGCAGCCCACCCCTGAGCCCCACCTGACTTCCCATCCTGCCACTGGCCACCCGCATGGCAATGGCTTGTGGGCCCTGCCACAGACCTCTGGGAATCACACCAACAATGCAAGGCGAGGCCCACCCTCTCCAGCCCCCATTCCCGCCCCCCACTTCCCACCTTCCACCAGTGAGCACAGCAGGGAAGGGCAGACAAGGAAGTCACAAGCAGCACCTACTCAGAAGCCATGAACAAAGCCTGCAGGATGCTGTTCACGTAGCACGTGTTGCCCAAGTTGATTAAACCAATCTTGCCCGTGTCTGACTTGGCCATAAGCCGAGGGTAGAAGCCGGCCAGCTCACTCTTCTGTGAGGTCCAGGCATCCTGCCCCAGCAGCTGCTTGATGCGGTCCTCATTGGGAACATGGAGGTCCTGAGGAAGAAATGAGCAGGCAAGACAATGGGCACCAGGGCCAACTCCAAAAATATTACCTCCTCTAAGAGGCCTTCCTGGACTACAGCCCACTGACAGCCTCCCAAGCACACACCGGTCAGGAGTGTTCCAGAGAGGGGTGGGGACAGCCCCTGCTTACAACTCGTGCAGGTTCTCATTTTGATATGTGGGGCTTCTACATGATCTTTCAGGTGGCAACTGCCTCAGGGGGCACAATCCCCATTGTAGAGATGAAATAACTAGATTCAGAGAAAATAATTGTCCAGGGTCACATAGGCAGTACGTGAAGAAGTATATGTTCCTAGCACAGACCAGGGGGACGGACTCTAAGTAATGACAGCGCTAGCCAAATCCAGCTCTAACTGGCCCTCACCCATGTCCAGCTGTGGTCAGTGAGCCTCTCTGCCTCACCCATCTGACCTTCCTGGAGCGCAGTTTGCTCATCTGTCAAGAGAGGACCCCTCACACCACTCTGGCATCCTACACCTTCATGGTGCTTGCACCAGTGACGTTCCCACTCTGCCTCCTTCTAGACTTGCAGAGTCCACTTTCTAGAGAATTAGTCACTCCCCGCCACTTGCTCCTAGAGTTGGTGGCAGGAGGATCCTGGGATTCTAAGGAATGGGCCTTGGACACAGGCTCAGGGACTAGCATACTTTCCCATTCGTTATCCTTTGTCACTTTAAACAACTATGCCTAAAAGATTACCCGGTACCAAAAAAAGAAAAAAAAAGATTACCAAGCACTAGTTGTAAGGATGACATTTGTAAAGAAAACCACCAACCCACAAGGAGCGCTACTTAGCACATTTCAGCAACCTTCCCAGCAGTTCCTCCAGCACTAGCACACTGTCAGCTCCCGGCACAGTGACTTGCCCAAGGCCCACAGTGCACAGCCCCACTAGCTTAGCACCTAGCACATGTCCTCTGGCTACTGCAGGTCTTGCTCAAGCCACGGCTTATCACTTATCACTTGGCTCCCAGAATCACTTACCAGATATTTACTGGACCAGTCACCTCTCATAAATAACTTTTTAAAAAACTGATACCAGGGGAAAATGTAAACACAGGCTCAACATTCTCTTTTTTCTTTCTGTCATGCCCTATTTAATTGCCCCACACGTCCACAGCATGACCAAACAGGGACAAAGGGCAGACAGAACCGCACACACAGACACATGCATAAAGAAGATGCAAATACACCCATGCTGGAGAAAACATCAAATATTTCTCCCAGAGAAGGGAACATTGTACTCTTAGAAAATAAAACATATTCTTCTACATAATTTTCAAACTCCTATTATTACTGGAAATTTGTATGCCGTGACTCCCTCAGCAAGGACCACAGCTCCCTGACAAACTGCCGTAACGCAATACATCTGAGAGGACTTTGCAGAACTGACCCACACAGGGTTCCAGATACAAAGAAGGGTACACACACGATGCATGTGAAAATCTTACAAACTATGCTATCGTTCGCTGCCTCGCCTCTCAAATTGGCTTGTTGCAAGGGGTATTCAGGCCATGGGACAAATGTAACCCATTTTCCTGACACCAATATTCAAGGAAGAAAAATATGTTCATATTAAAACAAACGTTTGTAATTATGAAATATATACTTGGTACTCAGAGGCTGTAGGAAATTCTGAGCTCAATCCAAAGTGCTCTGGGTAAGTCTTCCTCACCTGACACCAGGTCCCATGGTAGAAACATTTGAGAGGCCCAGAGCTACTGGATTAAGCAGAGATTAAGCCCAAATTTCAAGGCTCTGCTGACATATGACCACCAAACTGGACTCACAATTCCCACACCTGGGCCTTGCCCTCTGACTCATCAGGAGCCAAGGTCTGACTCTGACCCCCTCTCTCCGAGGCTTTCCAAGAGGCTTCCCAGCATGTCCCTGAGCCACCTGTCCCTGCTCCCTGTGGTGGACTGTAGCAGGCATCTGCAGACCCGCCTCAACCCCCAGACCAGACCACCAGCCCCAGCACGCAGAGCCTGGCTGTCACTCATCTCAGGTCTATTTCACCCCGACATCAAGGCGATCTTCACGCTACAGCCGTGTTGTAACGATGTTCTGCTCACAGGCACTAAGTACAGAAGACAGAGATACCAAACCGGCACGGCCCCTGCCCACCAGGAGCTCACCATCTAACAAGAAATAGTAACAGCCCCAGAAGCTCAGCATATTCCTGACAAAGGGGAGTCCTGGCCCCTCCGCCTGACTACCACAGGGAGCTCATGCTCTATCAAGACAGCCCCTTTCCACTGAAGTTAGCCCTGACTACCAAAACACTTTCCCATGTTATGTCTGAAAAAGAGGAGAGCCAAGAAATTACCCAGCGGTTTGGTCTGTTGTATTTACTCAGTCGTGGTGACTCTGTGTTTTGTAACTTTGGGATTACAAACTCATCTTCAGTAGAACTTCATTGCTTGATTTGTGTCTACTAGGCAACTGTTGGGTATTACAAGTTTATGAACACTTTCAATGTTAACATCTAAACTTGGGGGGCGGCCCACAACTCCCAAAATAATCTGAATTTGAACTCTTAAAACTACATGAGAACAGGTCACTAATTCCAAATTCTCTCTTCCCCCTCTCAGTCCAGGGACCAGACTAAGCTAGAAAGGTTGCTCTGATCTCTAATTTGGACCATAGGAGTGTCTTGTCCAGATCATTCTTTTACTAATAGTAAAGCCCTTCTCAGATATCAGCAGGCTCCACAGTGCCAACTCCCTACCAGGGACAGGCCCTAGCCCTCATCTACTGTCACCACCAGCTCAAAGCCCCTTGGTGACTGAGGCTGGTCACCTCACCTACCCTCCCACCCAAGGCAAAAGAACATTATTTCTCACTTAACATTCTGGAAATCAGTTTTCTCTTCCTTTTTGGTTGGTCCCTGGGGATTCCTCCTTACTTTCTTGCAAACTCAGCTATGTACTTAAAAAGATGTTTGTTATATTTCAATAAGCATTTCTACATGCTTTGTAGTGGGACATTTTCTAGAGTGTCTAGTTAGCTGTGCTTCAGTAATGAAAGTCAAATCAGTTTTCCCAAGAACCACCCACCTAGCCCCTCTCATGGGCCTGCCGTCCATACTGGGCCGTGGGCAAGCCTCAGCAAGCCGGGGCCCTGGCTTGGTCTCACTGCTCTCCAGGTAGGTCACCAAACCTCTCCAAGCCTCATTTTCATCAATGAAGCTGAACTAACCCTATCTGCTTCATGAGCTACCTGCAAGCATCAGAAGACAAAAATGTGGGAGAACACTGTCAAATGCAGCACCACCTGTAACTGTTAGCCACGGTCAGATCCCAGGGACCTAGCAAGCCATTTCTGAAACCCTTTCTTCCTTGTAGCCTCTCTTTCTCCAGCTCCAGAAGCTGTTTCTTTCCTCAGCTCCTCAGCCCAGGACCTGGAGGCATCACCACGAGCCACGTAGATCAGACTTTCTTGTATATGAGCTTTGAGCTCCTTTCATGCACTTTGCTTCACGCCTGTGTCCCCAGTCCCCAGCTCAGCACAGAGTAGGGCATCGAAACAGTCATATGAACAAGTGTAAATAAGCCCTGCTCTGGGGTGCTCACAGTCTAATGGGGACACACAGTGATGATGAGTGACCAAAAGATGCACCAGGGCTCTGGAAGCACCGAGGGGCCTTGACCCAGCCTGGGGGATGGAGTGGGGTATTGAGAGTTATCAAGGAAGACTTCTGGGGGGAGGCAAAATGAAGCAGAAACAAGAAGTGTTAAGTGGGACCCGTGAAGCAGAACAGGAAGAGTTTATAGTTAGAGGGAACAGCGGATGTAAGGGCTCAGCAGTCATGAGGACAATCCATCTGGGAAACAGTGGGGACCTAGTGTGCCTAAGGGCCACCATGGCCCCGGAGAGGTGGCAGAAGCCAGTCGGGGAGTAAATAACGGGAGGCTGTCTCCAAGCTATGGTATAGCCCTGAGGAAGGCCCAAACTGGCCCCTTTGCCAGAGCAGGGTCAGGGACAAGTAGGGAACTGTCACTCACCTTGATGGCCTCCATGACAGGCTCGTACAGATCTGGGAAGCCTGGGAACCGGAATACCATGCAGTGGACCAGCTCGGCCAGCTGCTCCAGGCAGCTGGCCCCTGAGTTAGAGTCTTCCTTGATCAGCGAGGTCACCATGGGGGGGATGTGAGGGAGGAGCTGTGAGAGCAGAGGGGAGTTAGGCTAAGTACCACCCACCCAGGCCTAACCCACACAGGGCTGAGCTGCATGCAGGTGACTCCTTATACAAGACTTACAACCTAAGGCTCCCTGCCTCAGCTTCTTCTTCTGCAGAACAGGATAAATAATACCTTCCTCTGAGTTAAGGGAAGGACTGAGCCCAGCTGTTTAGCCTCAGCCCACTGACCAGCCCTAAGACCCTGAAAGACTGAATGACCAGGGCTGCCGGGCCAAGCAGGAGTGATGCTGGGGCCACCACACAGCCAACTGTGTGGGCCCTGAACAGCATTTATGTGTCAAGCAGCAGTTGTTACCCCCATCCTACAGATGAAGACACTAAAAAAGGTTGTGTGTGTGTGTGTGTGTGTGTGTGTGTGTGTGTGTGTGTGTATGCCCCAAGTGCTAGGGATCAAACGAATCCAGGGCCTCATGCAGGCGAGGCAAACACTCTACAATGGGCCACAGGCTACAGCTTGAGAGGTTATATAATTTGTCCAAATTACACTGTGAGTTATGGAACCTGGTGTCTAAACCAGGCCCAAGTCACTTCTTCTTTGGAGTTTCAATGTCAGACCCATTGGGGTGCTGTATCAATGATGTCACAATGGACAATCAGGCCACAGGCACAAGGAGCCAAGGAGAATGATGGAAAGAAACGAATGCATATCAAGCCCAATCAATATGTGGCAGGCTCTAGGAAAATACCACCCCCGCCTAATCCCCTCCCACTGTCCCAGGGCTGTCCCTGTGCCAGGCTCTCTGAGAGGTTCAATGCTCAGCCCAAGGTCACCACATCAGGAAAACAGCAGTGCTAAGTTCAACCCCAAGCACCCCAATCTCAGCTTCTGTGCTTTGCCCACTGTAACCAACTGGGAAGTGTGACGCTCTGCTCCCCTGACCCAGTGCCATCAGAACCTAGGGCCCCATGTGGCTGGTGGCAGGTGACGGCAGGCAGGTGAGAAGAATAGCCCTCTTCCTGAGGGAGGGCCTGAGCTAGAGGCCAAACCACCACAGTGGTGGTGGGCAACAGGGTACAGGAAGGACAGTGGGCTGGGAGTTAGACAAACGGCTTGAATCTTCCTTATTCCACTCACTGACTGTGTCTGGGACAAGCAACTTAACCTCTTTGCAGTTTCTTCATCTGAAGAAGGCAGGCTCTGGCAGGACCTCTGTCCAGGAGTTAGATGCATGAACATATGTACTGTCCTTAGCACTGTGCCTGGCACAGAGCAGCCCCAAGGAATGTTAGCTATGCTCAGGCTAGGCTCTGTTACTCATGTGCCCAGGGGAAGGCTATGTAAATTCCCTGGCCTCAGTTTTCTATCTGTACAGCAGGGTCTCAGGCCTCCTGCAGCACTGATACCCAGGCTCTGAGGTCTTGAGCATCAAGCCCCACTCCTCAGCCTCCAACAGGGAATGCACACTGCCTCTCAGGCCATGGCGGGTGTGGAGCTGCCATTGCTGGGGCAGCAGGCAGTGCTCTTACCAGGTGGAAGGCCTCGTGGGAATGCTGGAAAGTCAGCAGCATATACTTGAGAACAGACAAGGCAGCTCCCCGGACGATGGGGTACAGCAGCTTGGAGAAGACCTAGAAGAGAGTCCCTGGTCAGGAGCCCCCAGAGCTAGGCCACCTGAGGCCAAGTGTAACCCTAAGAGCCTGGGAGGGGTCTGAGACAGAAGAGTTGAAGCAGCAGAGTCACGCAGGAGCCAGAACACATAGCTGCTCGAAGACATGAGTACACAGAGAGATGCCAAAATGGGCAGCAAGAGTTAGATACCTGATGGATACATGGACAGACCAATACGGACAAAGATGCACTTAATTTAAACGAGTGCTCAGAGGAATGATGGAGGGGAGCCTGAGGCCCAAAGAGAGGCAGTAAAGTAGCCAGGCCATGCAGTGAACTTGAGTGGGAGCGCTGTACTCTGATCCCATACCTGCCGTGCCCTGGCAAGAGACTAGTGGGGAAAGGCCACAGGCCTGAGTTGAGACTGAGCCCACCAACCTTCTCAATTTTAGAGAGCGAAACCTCGATCAAGATGCTGAACTTCTTAACAGCAGCCAGGCCCTTCAGCAGTGCAATGATCCACTTGTCAATGTTCTTTCCCAGGGGCCAGGACACCCAGTCAATCATCCTGGGGAAGGGAGTGACAGTGACACAGGGACCAGGGAGGCCCAAGTGCCTGGGTGAGTGCAGCGCAGAGACCAGCCATTGTGTCCTCTATTCCCACACTGACTCACACCTGCCCAGGCAGCACTGGGGTCTGTGGGATAAACGAGACACTGCCCAAAAATGCAAATAAGCCTGGCCCAGACACGCTCCAGAGGCTGCGGCTCTCAGCCCACAGGAGAGGAGCTAGGCCCTCTCAGCACCCAAACCTCACGCCTCCACGCTGGGCTGCAGTGCAGAAGGGACTTCCAGCCACCTCCACCTGGAAGACCACCACCTCTGGGGCTGAGAGCTCTGGTTCCAGTGAGCCCTGGCCATGAGACCTGGACCAAACCCCTGTCCCTCTCTGAGCCTGTAACAGAGGACAGTATCTCATTCCCAAGGTTGTCATTCTCAGTAAAAGAAAGAAGAGTAAACCAACGCCATGGAGTATTCACCTGCACCAGGCATTGCTCTAGCACATCTCGGCCCCACAACACAAGCCCTGGGCACTGGATTAGGCGTGAATAATAACCACTGTTATTATATACTCAGACTGTTATTAAGAGGTAGAACAATGAGAGAGCAAAGTAACGACACCTATGGAAAAAGTACCTTCCAGCACTGCTCTAGGCACTTTACATGGTATGTTTTGTATCTAATCTTTACAACAGCCCTATAGGATGGGGTTAATTATACACTACTTTATAGCTGAGGAAATGGAAATGGAAAGGTTGAATAAATTATGCAAAGTCACACAGGCAAGAAGTAGTAGAGGTAGGATTTGCTCTTGGGTAACTCACCTCCAATGCCCACACCCTTCCCCACTAAAGACAAGGAATCCAGGAAGGCTCTGCACAGCTGCTGGATCTGCATGTGGCCATGGAAGGAATGGCAGGGGGCCCGTGCCAGGTGGGTGGGGTCTGCACAGGCACAGGCCTGCAGGCAGGAGGGCAGGAGGTGGATTTTGGTGTCACAGACGGGCAGGTCAGGCTCAGAACAAGTATAAGGACACTCAAATAAGAGGAGGAAGGACGTACAAGAGCTCTGTGAGCTGAAAAGCACCCCAACTCTATGGTAGTTGTCAAACTCAGAAAGCACATCATTAAGCACTTTTCCCTTCTTATGGGGCCCCCTGGAAGCCTGGAAACACCACCACCCACCTCCACTGTTACCAAGGGGGAAACTGAGTCTGAGAATTCACTTGCACTTCCAGAGTCATATAGCTTGTACTAGGGCAGGGCTCTGTGTCCCCCATATGTGGCCCAGGGCCAAGTACTGAGCAGGGCTCAAGGGCACATGAATGACAAAACAAGCATGAGGGTCTGGCTGCTGACCCTTAATCTAGCCAGCATCCCCACTCAGTGGGAGAGGCTCCTAGGTAGAAGCGAGGAAGGGGCCCCTCACCCTGCCACCCCCAGCCCCCAGCACCCACCTGCTGATGGCAGTCAGCATCTGGGAGTCTGTCACACTGTCATCATTGCTGAGATTCCGGACCACGCCATCCATGAGCTCCAATGGGAGGTGCTGGACCACACTGGCCAGGGCGCTAGATGGTGGCTCTTCCTCTGCAACAGGGTGTTAAACTCAGTTCTGCAGGGTGGGAGCCCCCAACCCACCCCCCGGCACACCATCCCCTTATGCTGCCAGCAACTCAGCTGGGCATCTGCAAAGAGCACGCGGGGGACACCTTCTCTCCCGCTATAACAATGGTGGCGAACCTATGGCACACACGCTGCAGTAGGCACACACAGCCCTCTTTGTCAGCATGCGAGTCAAATCATCTCAGCAGCCAAGCACTGGATAGCGCTGTTTTTTCTAAACTAAAATCTAGGTATTCAGGTTTAATCGTAGTGTTGGCACTTTATGATAAATAAGTGGGTTTTGGGTTGCAGTTTGGGCACCCAGTCTCTAAAAGGTTCGCTATCACTGCCCTACAGCATCACAGTGTCTAATTCCATATGAGCTCATTCACTCAACAAACATTCCCTGCCACTGCTTTGAGCCCAGTCCTGTACTGGGCACCAAGACAAAGCACTAACCCTCAACTGTGGGTGTGTGGCAAGTTCTTTAGAAGTAGTAACACTGGAGCTAGCCAGAAAAGGTAGGAATTGGGAGGAAGGGGATATGCCAGGTGGAATCACATGGACAGAGGGCTAGAGGTAAGAAGGCACCATTTAGTTAGCAAACTTTATTGTGACGGTACAAGCCTGTAATTCCAGCACTCAGGATGCTGAGGCAGGAGATCATCATGAATTCAAGTCCAGCCAGCACTACATAAGTGAGACTCTGCCTCAAAAAAAAAAAAAAAAAATCAATAAAAGCACAAAACTATTGTCTAATTGTGTGAGACAATTAGTCCTTACGTTTTTTCCCTGCCAGGCACACTCCCTTCATCCCCCTAGCATCCTTGCTGCTAGGTGCTCCTGATCTCTCAAGACCAGGCTAAAGAGTCTGACTTCTACCAAGTCCACCAGAACCAAAGGCCACGCCATCCACTGTCCTACTGGTTTCCTCGGCAGCCCTGACCCCTCTTGCCACACTGATCTTGTCCTTCCCCACCAGACAGTGCATTACTCCGAGTTCTGAGGACTGACACAGGAGCTCAGGACAGGCGTGCTAACTCCATGAAGGAACACAGTTCCCCACCTGTGCATGCCCCACGTGCCACACTATTATGCGGGCTCAACTATCTACAAGCACAACCACCTGCCGAGGTGCGGTCTCCGCCCCCCAGCCCAGGTCACACACGCACCTGTGCAGGAGATGACTGCGAAGAGCTCCTTGAGACAGGGCAGGATGGCAGCAGGCTGCGTGCGCCACAGCTGCGCCAGGAGCCCGCTCACCTGCTGGGCCTGCTCCAGGAACTCCACGGCGCCCTCCTCGCCCTCTGAAGGACAGCGGAAGCGGCCAAGGCTACGCACCAACTGCTGGCAGAAAAGCAGACGGTGTGGGCCGTCGGGCACGCAGCGCGGGTGCCGCGCCAGGAGCCGGGCCACTTGCGCGCAGGCGGCGGGCCCTGGGCGCTCACACACGGTGCGCAACACCTCGCGCCGCAGCAGCGCGAACACCTCGTCGGCCGCGGGCCCCTCTGGCAGCAGCTGCAGGCCCAGCTGCACGCAGGCCAGCGCGCGGACGCCGGGCGGGCCGGCACCACCCTGCAGCAGGCGCAGCACGCGGCGCGCGCTGAAGAACTCGGCGAAGACTTCGGGGTGGTGGCGGCCAGCCACGTGCAGCAGCTGGCAGCCCACGCGTCGTGGCAGCTCGTCCGCACCTCCCACGTAGAGGCGCGCGCCCAGGGCCAGCAGCGCCAGGCACTGCTCGCGCTCCAGCGGCTGCCGCGCGGCCTCCAGCACACGCCGCACCAGCCCCTGCTTCACGCTCACAGGGTAGGACGACGTCACCACCGCCTCCAAGATCTTGTCCATGACGGCCACGCTGCGGGAAAGAAAGCAGGGTCACACCCCATTCAGCAGGCGTGGGATCCAGTTTCCCTAAGTGGCGAGACTTGAGGCCTTACTTTTCTCATCTGTGAAATGGGGTACGGGCACCTACCTCGCTCCAAGAAATGGTGCCCAAGTACAGCACAGTGCGTCATCATACAGTAAATCCCAGGGAGTCGCAGCTCTCCCTGCTGAGCACCTTCAATCCCGCAAAGCAATGCAAGCCTATTCCCCCGCCACCCTCAACCCTTTGCCCTTCGCAGCCCAGGCCTTCCCGGAGACCTTGCCATTCCTGAGGCACCACTTAGGTGTACAGCTAGAAGCTGCTACGCAAAATGCTGGCCAAGTCACACAAGGGAGCGTGACAGAGAGAGTGAGATGGTGCACTGAGGAAAAAAGAAAACACGCCTGCAGGGAGAGCCCGCGGAGGGGAGAGGGAGGGGCTCCAGGCTCCCTCGAAGCTTTGTACTGCCCCCACCCAGCGCTGCACTGCCCTTTCCAAAATTACCTACACCTTTGCAAGGTGCTGCTTGCTTGTGCTGTGGACACACCCTATCTCTCAGCCCTACCACCGCACACGCACCTGCAAACTCCTGTCTTTCTAAAACCTAACACACCTGTCCTAGGTGAGTCCATCCTCTACCCTGGATTCCTTTACCCACCTAGAGCCCATTCCTCCGTTACAGCCACAGTCCCTTAGTGCTGGGGAAGCTGAGCATTTCGCCTGTGTTCTGACTGTGCAGCCCTACACACCCAGGGCCCTGCCTACTTCTCCGGCCTCAGCCCACACCAGCCCTCAGTCTTGCCTCACAGTGTTTTCTCTGTCCCTGGACCTTTGTGCAAGGTCTTCCCTCCCCTCCTTGCTTGGTTAGTGCTTCAGGCCTCAAATGAAACTCAGTTCCTCAGAGAAGCCTCGTCTGACCCCCTAGTTTAAAACTTAGAACATTCTGTCTCCTTTATAGCATTTATGATCACCTGATTGGCGTCAGCCTCCCCACAGTACTATACACGGTTAACCACCATATCCCCAGCACCTAGGGCAGCGTCTAGCACACAGCAGGCTTTTGCTGGATGAGCAGAGACTGAGTTATAGGCTCAGTAATCTCGACCTTACTCCTGTGAACCATCAGAGCCTGCCTTCTGCCCTTTCCTCCACCTGGGCTGTTTTGTGGAAGCTTTTGCCCTACAAAGACCTGTTCTGACTCCCAATTCGTATGCTGTTTTTCAATAGCTTGCTGTCCCTATCCCTAAGTCTCAGCTGGTACGAGGTGGGGCCATCTCTTTGTAAAATCTTACTCTGGGTGGCACCTGACATGAGGCTTGGCACATAAGTCACCCTCTGGGCTCAGTAAAAACTACTGAAGCTACACACCTGCAACTGGTGTGAAGACAAACCAGAAATTTCCTAGATAATGGATGTGAAAATTGTATTCAGAACCTGAGATATTTGGGGACCCCAACTATGTGTCAGGCCCTGTGGAGATGCTCCCTTTTCTGTCCTACTTCTTGACTACGGCCAAGTCCGTAAGCGTTGGTGTCTCATTGGGTTGTAAGCGCCTTGGGGTAGGAACCAGAGCTTGTTTCCCCATGACTGGCATCTCCCATGCCTCTTAAGAGGTCACTGTGTTTAGAGGGTGTAGCCATGGCACAGATCAGTGGTTCCCAAATGCTGGCCTAGCTGCCTCAGAATCACCTGGGCACTTGTTAAAAGTTCAGGTGGCCTCAGTATCTCCCTGTAGGTTTCTGTTTGTTTGGTGGTGCTGGGGATCAAATCCAGGATCTTGGGCAAGTGTTTTGCCAGGCAAGTGTTCTATCACTAAGTTACACACATAGCCCCTCTATTTCTTAAACCTATTGCTTAGCTATGTTTTCCATTCTGTCATTTGGCCTCTACTTTTATATTTTGTTCTATGAAATGCATCTTTTGGTTGCCTGATTTGTGTTTGTGTGTGTGTGTGTGTGTGTGTGTGTTTATATGAAGACTTCATCTTAGACGGAAAAAAAGTTTGATGCCCAGGGCCGGTCGAAGGCCTCCTAACCAGCAAGTGGGGGGAATAATGTGTTCAACTCAGCTTTTTTAGTCTTTGAGTAAGGCTCATGTGGGATGCATTCTGGTTACCACAGAAGTTACTTATGCTTCCTGAGCCTCTGTTCCCACCTTGCAGAGTTATGAAGACACATGTAAGCCTTTAGCATGGTGCTGGGCACAAGGAAGTTCTCAGAAAATGTCAATTCCTGTTGCTTTAGAACCAAAGTCCCAATCCCTTCAGGAGCATCCAGTCTGGCAGTGGAGGCAGACATGTTTGTAAAGAGTGCCAGTTCTGAGCATGATCTCAAAAGTGACTTTAAAACTGGTCTCCCAGGCTTAGGATGTGACTCGGGTAGAGCACCTGCCTTGCATGCACAAAGTCCTGGGTTCCATCCCCAGCGCTGCCAAAACACACAAAAAACAAAACACTTCAGCCCTGGTCCTCTTTCTTAGGCAGTGCCTGTGACAAAGCAGTTGCTGTGCCCAACCTCTCTCACAAGACACAGAACCCTGGGATAGCCTCCTCCTTCCCTGAAGGCTAGTGGATTTAACATGCTTTCAAGCCAGGGTGCCAAGAAATCCAAATACTTGGGCAGCTAAGAAGAGACCCCAATCAATAACATATTGGTATCCAAGTGGAGAATGGGCAGCCAGAAATGGAGTTTGGGGCCAGGAAAAGCTCTGAAGAAAACAAATGAGATGACAAACAGAGCCCTGAATTCTAGGTCAAATTCATTGAATGACCTTAAGTAAGGCATATCCATGGCTCTCTTTTCTCTTGTAAAATGGGGATAAAGGATATTAGATTAAACCTCATGAAACTGAGCACTCAAATGCTGGCAATTTCATATCATTTACCTACTATCTGCCACATTAGGCAGATTGTACCTGGCAGCTAGGAGCCCACACCAGGGGTGCCACTTCACAAGGGCTCATCTCCAAGGCCAGCCCTGCAGCCCTGCTCAGTCAGTGGCCTGGCTGAGCCACACAAGCCCTGCCTACCTGTCCCTGCTCCTACGCAGTCAGGTCAGCTGTCACCATGGTCACCCACAAACCCACTCAATATTATCCTGAATGCATTCATGCAAAAGATTTTAGAAGCTTTAACCTCACATAACCCCACCACAGGCCAGAGAAACAAGGCAGGACAAAATCTGCTGTCTCTTCAGCAGGAATAGGGAAGCTGGACTCAGGGAGGGAAAGGCATGGGGCCTTGGCAGTGCAGGATTAAAACCTGCGCTCTCAGGGAAGAAGCAGCAGACCCCAGCATTCCTCATGAGAGGCTGGATTACCTGACTAGACCCCAGATGAGCAGGCGGCCTGTCCCAAGAGACAGCTGCCTCATGCCAAATGCAGCTGCAAGCTGAGGCCCTCCCCCCACAAAAGCCCTCATTAAAAGCTTAAAACCCAGATTCCCCACTTCAGAATCACCAGGTGATGGGTGAGTTTCCACCTGCCTCCTCAACCTTTTCACTTGGAGAATGGGGGCAGTTCTGGGCCTGCCACTCACATAGCTGGGACAAAGTATAAAAAAGATGAGGGGTGGGGCAGTCCTGAGACTGTTGGGCCACTTGGCACCGAGGGACGCAACAGCAAGGAGACAAGGAGATATGCTGTGCTGTCAATCTACCTGACTCTATAAAGAATGTCCTCCCTTAGGCCTCACCCCATCTCAGGGTTCCATCTGGGCTGCAGCCCTACCCAAGGTCAGCTCCTCTTTACTTCTTGCCTGGACTAGTGCAGCAGTCTCCTAGCCAATCTCCTCGTTCCCTCCCTCAACCATCCTCCAACAGAGGTAAGTGTCCTCCTAGAAGTGAACAGAGTACAAGCTTTGAATGCAGCCCATCTACTACCCCCTGTGCCCTGTGGTGGCCACAGCCACCCTCTGAGCTTCCAAACTCCAGAATGGAGGATGACTACCTGCCCATCCCTTAGCCTTTCCCAGCCAGCACTGCTGCTCCTCCCCAAGCCCTCAGCTCATACCATCCCCACGCTGGCATGACAGCCTGGGGGTCCCAGCAACACCCAGTTTGCTCCAGGGCACAGAGTAGCACATGAGTGTCACCATCCTCCCCCAGAAGGCCCAGATCCCTTTATCTGTTCCTCTCCATGACCCTCGGCATTCTGCTGTGTGCTGACAGATTCTAGTTCCTGCACAGTGGAGCCTGACTCATCTATCTACATCACTCCCAAAGCACCGTGTGTGTGTGTCCACTTCCCCTCCGTGCTTGGCCCCAGCTCAGCCTTCACCATCCCTTCATCTCTCCAACCCTCATCCTAATTACTTGACAAGCTCCCTCCTACCATCCCTGGCTCAGACTTCTCAAGGCTGTCCCACCCCTTCAGGATAAAGTCCAAACTCCTGAGCCTGACTTTCAGGTGCTGTCTCTGACACCAAGCAGATGTGGGGCAGGGATGGGATGGACCTGATGTTGTTCAGTGGGGAATCTGGACTGAGGACTTTTCCCTGATGTCCTGCTGGGAAGGGATTCTGCCTCACCCTGCAATGCCCAGCTCATTTAGCCCTCCTCTCCAAGGCCTTTCCTTATTCTTCCACAATTAGGTCTCTAAGTTCTGGCCTCCAAAGCCCTCTTAGCTTCTTTCATCCATGTGCAATATGATTCCATGCCCATCTCTCCCACTGTCTCTCCCACAGTCTGGGATGTCCCTTGGTAGGAAGTAGGTCCAATCCCCCTATGTCCAGGGCCCAGGGCAGGACTAAGCAAAGAGTTGTCTATGAAAGTGTGTCAAGTGACTAAGGAGAGACATGTGACAGTAAGATGAGAAAACCAAGATGTGACCAGAAAAGTACCTTCCAGATATGGACCTCTCCCTGGGTCCAGTCACTGTGCCCTCCTCTGCCCAGGCCTGGCCTTGCATATCCATAATCCTGAGAATCTCAAATATCAGCCAAGAAAGCTCCTACAGGTGTCACTGGATGGGACTAAGAAGCTGTAACCACTCTAGAAATGATTCAACCAATGCAGGAAAAAAAAAAAAGAAAAAAAACTTTTTCATGGTTTACCCTCCAGGTTTTCCCACCATGAACTAAGGAGAGGACTTCACAAAGGTCCCGGAGGGTCTGGTTCTTCAGGACCCAGCAGCTACCCTGGCCCTTGCTCAGCACTTCTCGGACCTTCACAGTTAGCCTCTCTCCTTTGACTCCCCTGGGTACCAGGGATACCTGAGGGCACCCAGCTGTCCCTCCCACCAGAAAATGCCCTCTATCTCTGGCCTTCCAGGGCTCTGGGCAACAGTACCCCTCCAGGGGGTTACTGCTTTTGTTTGTTTGTTTGTTTGGGGTTTTTTGTTTGTTCATTTTGTTTTCTGTTTTGAGACAGGGTCTTTGTAGCTCAGGAAGATCTTCTTGCCTCAGCTTCCCCAGTGCTGGGACACAGGGTGAGATTACAGGCATGTGCCACTGCGCCTGG